GAACAAGCATGGCGCCAACGCCACAACAATAATAACAATAGCAATAACGGGAGTGGGTTTGGAATACAGAACCCAGTAAAAAAAGACGGAACTAATAACATGTAAGGTTAAAGTTAATGTGCTTTTACTTTCTTCTGCAATGACTTTTTAACAGTTGATCCATTTCTTTCTACTGGGATTTTTATTGGAATTCCCGCTTCATCATCATCATCATTATATAGCGTAATACACTGAAACGAACCCTACTGATCGCTGCCAAACTCATAATGCACATAAGGTAAGTGAGAATGTGTAATGAGGACAGGGATTGGACTTAATTTTAGAGACGACAAAACAAAGCGAATCTCTATGGTCAGTACAGAGAGCACAGTGCAGCTGTGCATACATACTGTTTCAAGCATTCTGGTTTGATAAGAAATGACAGCAAGCACGTCATTACTGTCGGTTCGCAGCCATGACCTTCAGTGTCTCCAACCATCCAGTTAGGGAATCTTTCGGACCCCAACCCGGAAGACGAGAGACACCTAATCTACCTAATCGCTCTCTGCATTTCTTCATGCTTCGTCTTCATGTCATCTTTTGACCTCCGTGTTGTTTTCAGTCTGGAGCGGTCACTGGAAATAGGGCACGGTGTAGTAGGCGACTGTTGGACATACGCAAAACGTGTCATAAAAACAAAGCCTCCTGAGATGGATTCAGAGCGAAGCGACCTGATTGAAATCCTGCTTGTTTGTTCGCGGATATTTGTCTCCCTGACCGGTGTCCGGCGTCGAAATATGACGGAGGCTAATAACTTGATAATTAACTGAGGTGGATGAGTGAAGCACGACGGATTTACCGTTATCCAGCCGTGTAGCTCTCTTAGACTAGTCCGTCTTCTTCTGATCTCCATCTAGTGGCCTTAAATCTCCAGCGTATGAAAGTGCTTCTGTTTGACTCGCTTTTACACGGTTTGCTGGTGGATATTTTCATCCGGAGTACATCTTCGGGATGCTAAGTTGTTTTGCTAATCAATCACTTAAACCAAACATTAAAGTCCATCCACAGACCCCCGCAGCAGGTCGCATATTGTGGAAGTTACACTCTCAGAGATGAAAGCTATTATACAGTTATTAGACCTGGTCACTCAGCATTTCGGTTTGCGAACCGAATAATCTCACACAAGCAAGGATTGGCATTGTGCAGTGAGGCAGTGGAACTACCTAATCCCTTTAGGAGCCAACCTGGGCGGAATCCGAACCCCGGTTCTTGTCATCCAATGCTTTTCACCACTACTGCTATTATGATCTTTAGTTGCTATCTCATTACTGTATACTTGTATTGGTATTTACTCACCTTTTCCACGTTCTGTTCACAGTACCGCTGCGAAGCCTGGTGCCGACCAGAAAAACTTAACACAACAACTTACCCAACTGGTTGATTTTCTCATCACCGTCCGTCCCGGTCTGGACGAACAGGCCCGACATCTACATGCAGATCTACTCGCGTGTGCTACAATGCTCTGGCATAAACTTCACGGGAGCTCGCACCCGCCTGACTCCAATACTGGTACCTGCCAGTCTAACGATACACTTGGTCAGCTCCGGATCGATCTGACTGACTGTGCGTTCGGTTATGTGGCTCAGTTGGCTATCTATCCGAATTTGTCCTTAGCAGATGAGGCGGTATGTTCTCGGACGCTTACCGCGTCAAAACGTTTTGCCCGAGAGCAACGCAGCTTGTTGTTACTATCGTGTTATTTTTGTTTGACAAACTATCGCAATGAAAGTGTAGAAGTATTCATCCAAAAAACACAACTCATTGATTCTGTGCATGAAAATAAAACCAGATTAGAGAAGGGTGTTTGACAACCTCACACTAGTCCTTGCAATCGGAGTATTTGAATGCTGTTATGAATTTAAACTTATCCAGTAGGATTGGCTTGTCGCTTGTGACGCGGTCCAGCAATTAGATCGGTTCGTGCCATAGAGCAAGATCTGTGATAATAGTGGTGGAAAACGAGGTTCGTATGCCGACATTGCGTATACTTTAGGCTCAACACAGTCCGAAAGTGTCAAAGAACAAGGGGAGGCCCCACTGCATACGTGGCTACTATAATCCGCAGTGCGGCATTTCAAGGTCTTGTAAACCGCCTGGTGTACCAAAAGCTACGTTATCCGTCCGACTGGACACACTGGATGCAAATTCTGTTACACTTGAGATCTTTACTGACTGCACTATCGCGTGTTATACGAAAACATCGAAGCTGTACTAGATCGGTCAACTGGTTTGACGATACGGTCACATCGTATAAACTTTTCTTGCTCCAACTTTGGTGAAACTACTCGCGCTACGGGTGAGTAAGGCTTCTCCAGGAGATTTAAGTGACGCATTTCCTGAAGGCGACTCATTGGCCGTCGGATAAAATGGGGAATCGATTGGACATGACGAATGAATTGTAGTGCTATTCTTGTGCATGGTCCACCTTATATGCCGGCTTTGTGAAGAACTGTATTTCATTAACCTAGAGCTCTTTTCCATTTTGACTGATTTTTAATCGTGAGATTAATTCCACCTTATTCATACTAACCCCTTCAAAACACTATCCCCCGGCATATAACTTATTGCATCTGCCTCTGGTATTTTCCGTCTACAGGCTTTTCGGCAGGCTATCAGTTTGATGCTCAAATTGTGGGATACCACATCACAATCGTCAGACTTGTGCACTCGTTTGGTTCAAGCTGGTGTGTTCAATAACTTGTTGGTCACTCTTGAGCAACAATCCCAGGTCAGCGGCACTTTGTATACCCCCCCCCCACCTCTATCGAACTGTTTGATTTACCACCTGTTGACCATACCCCTCTATCAAGCTGTAATCATTTTCGCCTTTATCCTGCTTGTATCTCGTGAAATTGTCACAGGCACCGATCCCACCTCGGCGATCTGTTTCCAATGATGGGCACACATCCACTGAGTATCCGTTGTCTGTGCGTGCGTGTGTGTGAAGGATTTTTTTCAGGAGCAATTTCTATCGGTGTTTTTTCTCATTACACACTATAACGCGATGAAGAGTGGCATTTAGAATTAGAGAAGGGGCATCTACTATTGAAACTCTTCCACCACCTCCACCACTCAAATTTTGTAGCATGTATGACTATACTCGAGCTCAATCTCATGCCCATCATTTTTGTTGTCTTATGTGATTCACCACTCTGAGTCTTGCCACTGGGGTTGACGCTCATCCTGTATTTTCATCGTCTCTATATATGGTTTACTCCTTCCGCTGTTGAGGTTTGCACCCCCTCTCCTTCGGACTTGTGTTGACGAATCGCATAAGATCACGACGAAACATAAACGAGATATCCCCCCCCCTCCCATCTTCAGACCATGGTTCTTTGAATGCGCAGGTTTTCATTTGACATGATGATCAAGACGTTTTGAATGTTCTCCTTATCCGGAGCAATTTTCAACAAGCCTAAGGTTGCCTAAGTGAATATCCGCATGGGGCTTGACAAACCGCTTCGATGGATTTCCATAAATTCTGACATTCGATTGAAAACTTCCAACAATGAACGTTACTGTCTGATAACGTCCGATTCGTCTACGTTCTCTTTTCCAGTCCCGAACCGGTGCTGCCCTCGGTCATGACATTCTCATCCTGGTCATGCGAGTGTTACTGGCCGATACCTGTTCGTCGGGACCGAGTGGACGCGTGTCCCTCATTGAACCCGCGGATACGGAGATTGTTGTTGAAATGACAGTTGGCCCGAGTGAATGCACTACTGTACGTAGCGAGACAAGTGATGCGGAGAAATCGTTTGGTTTTGAACTCATTCTTTCCGGTGCACAAACAGTTGGTTCTTATCGTGATCTACTGGTTCGTGCTTTTACTTGGCCCGCGACTGATACACTACTCCAATGGATTCACGAAGATGAGATGGCAGTGAGTGTGTGTGTGTGTATGCTTGGGGGGATTTGTTTGCATTCTCACTGTTACTTACCGTGGTTAACCGCGAAATACATATGGGACACTATCGGTTGTGCCGGACATCAGTGTACCGTGGCTATTCAGTTAAACTTTGTGAAAAAGCTCATATCTACTGTTCTTCAAAAAGAAACCCTTATCTTAACGTGCATGTCAATCTTGCTTACCTTGGTTATCTGTTTTAGTCAAGTTGATAACCTGATGCAAACCACTGATCTGTGTTTGAGGAACAGGTGATTGTACAAACCTATTCCAGTTTTATCTCAATTTTAATATGCCTGGCTTCTGCGTGAGGATAAGCCGATTTCTATCAGAGTACACACACACACACATACAATCTCACTACCTTCTTTGTGACGTCAAAAAAATTGTTGCATTTCAGCAGCATGCATCGAGTTGTTTATGGTGGCGTCTAACAGAATCAATTGCCATTCTTGTGATTTTAATCATCCAAGTAACTCGTTACTTGCCGAAATCGACCTACCACGGATGACAGTGTGTGTGTACAATGTGGTCGCGGAGTTTCATGGGTTGACTACTCGCATTTGCATAACCAATACGAACTGCAGTGTAACAGTGTGTTTGTGCCTGGTTACCTGTGGTCCCTAGATACTCGTTCACTATTCAACTGATGTGAATTTAGTCCATGTATCCACGCATCTGGGTTCAGTTCGACAGAAACTCCTATTTACCCATTGGATCATCATCATCATCATCATCATTGTCCAGCGAAATACAGTGAAGCAAATTTCACTGATTGGTGCTAAACTCGCATAGCGTAAAACGTAAGTGATAAAATTTAAGGTGGATAGAGATTGGACATACTTTGAGGGAGGAAGAAGAAGGTGAACCAGCTGAAAGCTTGAATACAATACAGTGCACAGAGTGCACAATCGAACTCTGCATACTTACCGTTTCAAGCGTTCTGGCCCTAATAGGAACTGACAACAGGAACGCCACTGCTGTCGGTTCGTATCCGTTTCCTTCTGTGTCTCCAGCCGGCCAGTTGCACAGTCTTTCGGACCCTAACCTAGAAGACGGGAGACACCTTCTCCACCTAATGGCTCTGTGCAATTCTTCATGCCTTGTCTCTACGTCATCTGTTGACCTCCATGTGGTTTTCTCCAACCCGGATTAGCTACAGCGAATAAAGCGCGGTGCGTCAGACGACAATACGTGCCCTATCCAGCAAAGTCTACTAATCTGAATTCGGTATGCCAGCAGGTTTATATTTGATAGACTCCCAAACACACGACGGCTGACCTTCACGTTACTAGCCCCTTTTTCACTCCACCCAATATGGGCTAAACTAAGTAAACATAAATCGAAAACTTCTAGTCGACGGATGTCTTCTACTCACAAATTTAGGGTTTCACAACCATAAAGCAGAACTGTCCAGATATATTATTATTCGACCTTCGCGTGCCTGGGTTTCGAATACCGAATTCATGATGTCTCAGTTCAATATTCTTTTGTTCGCTGGCTGTTTTGGTCCGACTGTAACGGTTGTGTCCGAAGGTCTTTGTTTGTCTTTCACGTGATTTCCACCTCCTCCCATCCGAAATGCGTCGTCATCGACCCGACGAACAGATGGCTCTACAGACAACGCAAGACATACTTTCTTTCGCTGTTCGATTGCTTACTAAGAAGCTTCTTTACTTGCTCTATGGAGATTTGGTACCAGTATCTGGACGACAACTAAATCCATCAATAAATGTCAATCTGTCTTTCTTGTTTTATATCGTAAAACCTTCCCATTGATGCATAAGTGGAAACACGAAGAGATTTCTTTTCGATATGTCAC